TGCTTGCAGAGAGCTGCTCGTCTGCTCTGACTTGGAAACTGCGTCCAGACAAGTAACTGCTGATGAGCTTGGTTTGGTACCCTGGAAAGCCTGCCTTAATCGTCTTGTCATCAGACCTTGTCAAATGCCTTAAACATGTCCAGGAAGATAGCTCCTAGACTTTTTCGGCGATTTAACACTTGTTGGATTCTCGTTGTTAGCCGGGCGGCAAGTGTGCTTGTGCCATGGCCCGGCTTATCCTCTATTGTATACTGGATTTGGTACAGGATACACCTCTCCATAATTTTGCCCATCATTGGTAATAAGCTGATGGGCCTGTAGGACGTGAGCAGTTTCCTTTTTGAGGCTTTCCTCGGAGCCAATACCACAATTGCCTTTTTCCTAATGTTCGGGAAATATTCGATGTCCAAGATGGCATTTTCCACTGTGGTTAGGTCCTCAATTGCTGCGTTTGGTAGCTTTTTGAGGACCTCATTAGAGATTTCGTCATGTGCCAGGGGCTTTTCTCCTCTTCGTCCCCTGGATGATGTCCTGGATGATCTAATTTGTGACTCGTTTGGCTTTGGTGGTCTGCCAGTTTCGGAAGTGGGCGGATACTATTTTATCCACTTCCTCCTTTTTCTTTGGGTGATCAACCAGGTTTACTCTGTATTGGAGCTCTAGATGTTTTGCAAAGAGCTTTACTTCAGATTGAAGTCCCCGCCATGTATCATTGGTCTGTTATCTGGGAAAAACCTTTGAACATCCTCGGGACACGACGTAGCGCTTGGACTAACGTATACGGACCCGACTCTGAGTTCGGACTTCTCCATTTGGACAGCCACTATGGATTCCTCCAGATTTGCCGAAGGTTTGACGATCTCATGGTGCTGGATGGAACTTTTCACTGCGACTAGTGTTCATCCGCCCCTAGTTGGCCTATCTGCTCTGTGTGTCTAATAGTTGCGAAGTGTGAACCTATCTCCAGGTTTTAGCATGATTTCCTGGATAAAGCACACATCGACGCTGTATTTGTCCAGGAAGTCTTGGAGCTCTATTTTCTTATTCTTCACTCCGTTGGCGTTCCAAGAAATGACACACAGAGACTTGGGCCTGAGCAGTCTATACATGACTGCTCATAAGTGCAATCATTTGCGCTTGCATGGCAGCCATGAATGTCTGCATTTGGTTTTGCATGGCCTGAATGGTTTGGGCCAGCTGTTCATGGCCGTTTTTGCCTCCTTGTTGACGTTGGGGGCTTGCTGGGGCGGCAGGTTATTTTGGACGGCTCTGCTGTAGCTCTGGCTAGTTTTGGCCGACTGATGGCTGTGATGCGGTGACAGTTTGACAGGTGACAGCAGCCCTTTCCCGGGGAACTGGATATTCCCGGGATTCATGTGCGGCCGCACACTTGACACATTTTGCGGCGGCTGTACATTTGGATTGACCATGTGCATAGAGTTTACACCGGAAGCACTGTGTGAGCTGACTCTTAGCATGCTGGGATTCCACTCTGACTCTTAGGTTTCCCAGTGATCTGACGTCGAATATGGCCTTCTCGGTTTTTGGCAGTAGCACCAGTACTACTGGAATTGGCTGGCCATTTTTCTTCCACCTCACTATGGTTGTTGGGTGGAATCCTAAGGCAATTAGCTCGTATCTGATTTTGCCATCGCTCCATGACTCAATGACGCTTCTAATCACCACTCTCAGCTGTTTCTCCTCTTCCAGCTGGTACGTGTGGTACTGGTATTTATAGGTATCCAGTACCCTAATCATTTGCCTGTAGTCTTCGGCGGTTGGAGGGTGTGTTCTGACTCCCTCCTTGGTGGTCACTCCTCATCCATAATTAATTTTCTTGGTCATCAGTCTTCGCATTATTTCATCGTATTTGTCCTTCTCGCGAAGGATAATTGGAGGCACCTTTGGCTTCCTTTCACTTTGCTGCTGGGCGGCAGGGGTGGTCTGCTTCTTCCTCTGCTCGACATCAAGCTGCTGGGCAGCAGGGGTGGCCTGCTTTTTCTGATCGTTGTTGCTATCATCCGGCTGGTTGGTCCTTAGCTGAGCTGCTCTGCGAGGGTCCCTCCTTTTTCCCGGATCTGTAGACAAAATTGGGGCCTTAGTATTGTCCTCACTGGAGGACACAGGTTCGGCACCCCAGCCCTCAGGCCCTGCCACCACTTCGGCACCCCAACCCCCCAAGTCCGCGATTCCTATCGTCATCAGGAATACTGCGGAATGGACTAAGGCCAGAAATCTTCTTGTGCAAAATAATTGCACCTTCACAAACCCCAAAAAAGTAGCGTTGGGCATCCAAATCCACCCCAAAACTACAAATGACCACAGAGACATCACCAAGCTTCTCGCTCGAGAAAAAATTGAGTTCCACACTCACACCCTCCTTGAGGACAAAAAGTTGATCGCCATTGTCAAAGGGCTTCACAACCAAATGGCACTTCCCGAAATTCAGGCTGAACTCGAAGAACTAGGCTTCACCCCTTCTGAAATCCAATTCTACAGAATGAAAAATAGCAAAACGGCGACCAATATGGTCAAAATGCTCCTCAAAACTGGAGACCCATCAGCCTCTTTCCCATTATTTCCAAATTGTACGTACTTTCCTGACTGTGTTTCAATTCCAAAATTAAAATCAAATCCTGGGTTCTTCAGTCATTTATTTATTGTTCATTTATCAATTTAA